GGCTTTCCTCTTCGGCGGCGGAGCTCTCGCTCTTCGTCCCGCCTGCGTCCTCGGTCCGCGGGGCCGGGCGGCCGCGGCGACGGGCATGGCTTCGGCGGGCAGCGGCATGGAGGAGGTGCGCGTGTCGGTGCTGACCCCGCTGAAGCTGGTTGGGCTGGTGTGTATATTCCTGGCGCTGTGTCTGGACCTGGGCGCGGTGCTGAGCCCAGCCTGGGTCACGGCCGACCACCAGTACTACCTGTCCCTGTGGGAGTCCTGCCGGAAACCCGCCAGCCTGGACATCTGGCACTGCGAGTCCACGCTCAGCAGCGGTGAGGGCCCGGCGCCGCGACCCCTGTCTCCGCCTCGCTCGCCCCTTGCCCACAGCCCAGGACTGCCGCCACCCCACTCCCTGCCGCTTCAGTGCCCCCCACCTGTGTCCTTCCCACCCTGTTCCGGCCCTTCCCGGAGCCTAGGGCTCCAGCAGCCTCACTGACATCCACCCCTCTCCTCTCCCCAAGCCCGGTCGCCAAACCTAAAGCGACGTCCCACGCCCTCTCCCTCAATCCCTGGCCATTCCTCTGTCTCTAGAGTAACACGTATGCCTTTCTGGGTAATTGTTATCATTTAGGGCGAGAACCGTGTGGCTACGTTAAAAATGTAAGGTCTTCCGCGCCCTCTTAAAAAAAAAAAAGAGCAATGAGGTAAAACGCCCCAACTCTGCCAAGATGCTGTGGGTTCTCAGTTTAGGCTCCCCCACTCTTCTCTTTCCTCTCAGAGTTTACCTCTCCGTGTCCACGTTTTTGCCTGGTTTGCTCCACCTTATCTGGGTTTTCTTCAGTGAGTTTTGGTTTGGGTTTTATTTCCTTACGTTTTTGAGGGATATAGAGAGGTGGGAGAGGACCAGGCGTAATTTCCTTTTTTGGTGACATGGTAGTTGGTTGTGAGTTGCCCTTCCTTCTCCCCACCCTCCGTACGTCCCCTCTCCTGCCAGACCTTTCTTTCTCTTATCCTAGAGTTACAGATGCCTGGAAAGTTGTGGCTAATTCAGCCAACACTGTAAGTTGCAAATAGAGCCCTCTGGGCTATGAGGTGAGATGGGGGAGAGTTGGAGAAGAACCAGCCCCAGGGGGAGGGGAGATTTACTGTTTTCTTCCCTCTTTTACACTCGCAGTTGCCTTCCCCAGCGCCCCAGTTACGCCTTTAGAAGAAATCTGCGAACTTACTTCTTGCTGCAAACCCTTTGCTCTCTAGTCTTGATTCTTAAGCTGCTGATGTCAGCGCCGAAAAGGGAGAGTAAAGGGAGAGAAGCTACCCCATGGTACACACATGCACACACGCGCACACACACACCCAGAGAAACTCATTAAATTCCTTCTTGACAGTTTCGTGTCTTTTCTAGGACTATTTATAAAGCTTTACTGGAAATGTTTCAAGTTCCAACAAAGTTGAAATAGCACAAAAAGCCACAAAAATCTGATGTGCTTTTGCCTTTGGTTTCTTGTTTTAAGAGAGATTAGTTCACTTGGTTAAGTTTCTTCCTTAAATTTAATTTTCTGTGTACAAAAGGCTTTTTCACACGCACATCAAAATTCCCATTGAAGGGTTTTGTCTTTGTTGCTTTAATTCACTGTGGAGGGGACTGGTTGGCAGCAGGAGGTCAACATTTAGGTCTTTCAATTCTTTCAGAGTTGGTTGTTTACAACTCAGGATAAAATAAATCTGTAAAATGCCTTTCTTCAGTAACCAGGGGATCCAGATAAACTTTGGAGAAAATATCTTTTCTTCCTCCTCTCCAATAGAAATGGAAATTTATGTAGGAATGCCAGCTTCAGCGGGTCTCCTTAGCAACGTGAATCTGGCCCCTTTCTTACTGTCTCCTGAAATAATAGCCCCCTGATTGCATAAAGACTTTTGAGATAGGTTAAAGAAGCCAGCTTTGACTCCCACTTTCTTTTCAGGCCCTTATCCTTTTCTCTTGGTGAGGAATGTGGGGAATGGGGAGAAGCCAGCTAGAGTTTGATGAGCTCTGTGCAATGTTTGCTAATCTTTCCTTAATTGCCTTCTTAGCCATTTATCTCTGCTTTCCCCCTCCCCCGTCTAGGCAAGGAACTAAGGAGACACATATTTAATGCAGATATAGTGGTAATTGGATTCTGGATTCGACAGGGTAAAAATCCAAGGCAGGTACAGTTTCACCCCCCCAACCCTGTCTTTCTAACCCCTTGCTGAAACTCATACCCTAACATTTCTATTTGGGTTCTGAAAATCAACTTCAGTTTTATTTTGCTGAAAATTTACTTTTCATCCCAGAAAAAGTATAGTTCGTAAGTGAATATGAAAGAAATCCAGGTCTTGACTTGTCTGGTAGTCTGGAACGGTTTTTGCTCTATTTTCCAAGGGGCTGGGGGGTGGGAGGTGGGGGGGTGGAAAGGAAACAATGTGGAGAATTGCTGCGACCCTTCCTTACAAAATGTGCTTTCTTAAAATGTTACGTGCTTATGAAGTTTCTGTCCACCAACGGTGAGGAAAACGAAGGGGGAGAGCCTGAATCGAAACCAGCAGTGCCTTTCTTGCTTGTTCCGAAGTGTAGGGAGCTCTTTTCAGTCTGTTTGCTGTGTGGAGCTGCAGAAAGCAGGCAGGAAAATGTCTTTTCTGATGATTTTAAGAGATCCACTTCATTGTCTTCAAATGAATTACCTCCAGAGGCACCACCAAGGACAGTTTTACTGAAGGCTCTTCAACCAGGATCTTCAGGGCTTAATTAAGAACCTTTGTCTTAATTAGAATTAAAACTGCTGTGAAGAGGCAAGCTTGTGTTTACAGAAGGAAAATTTCGGGAATCTTTCTACTGAAGACAGTATGCCCTACTTAGGCCCAGTTTCTGCTGAAACTTTCCCCTCACCCATTATTTTTAAAGCTGTGCTGTAATTTTGATGCCAAATATGCACCGCTTGCTGTTTGTGTCCCGTTTTCTGGTTTTAAGTGAAAGCAGAGCCATGCTTCTGTGTGTGTCCTGGTGTATTCAAGGTTGCGTCAGCACTTCTAGTATGAACCAGTAATCCGGGTGTCAGTCAGCCGTAATGCTTTTCTGTGGTGTCGCAATTCATTGTATTGGGGACAGTCCAGGCACTGATTAAGTGGTAAATTTTCCAAAAAAGACAAATGAGAAAACGGTTCTCAAATTCATGGTGGAAACAGGCTTGTTAGGAAGTTTAAAATAGGTAGTACTCACATGCTGCCACTGGCCGGCCACAAAATTTCTTTCTTAGGATGCTTTCCCCCACTCCTGGTTTTTGGCAGGGTCTTAATAAATCTTAAATATATTTACATATATTTACATATATATGTATATGTATATATATTTAATAATGATGGTAATGGTTTTAGATTCCTGCTTAGTCACAGTTAGTTTTGGTAACTTTTTTCTAGAAAGTAGTGGTTAGGGTTTCACAGCCTGAACAATCACAAGAGAATTCTTAGTACAAATCGGATGTGGCCCAAGTGTATGCAGAATGCTGAGGCCCTAAATGCTACATCAAAACGGGCTTTACTGTGTAACCCCTAAGGCAATTTCACATTATTTGTTTAAATTTTATAATTATATGGATGTATAAAGCAGAGTGAAATTTGATAGCTGTACGATTTATCAAGTAAGCAAAAAGCAAGAACGTGTAGCTGGTCAGATGAAATTTTGGGATGTATCAAGTGCATTTAACTATTGTTCCATCCCCCAAATACTTGAAACGATAGTTAATGCCTTTTTGAAGGAATATTGTTAACATCAATCACCTACTGTCCTAAAAATAGCTGCATTTGTAACATGAGTCACTGGCACTTATGAAATGGCAGTGCACCCTATGCTAATAACAGGTGAATGTTGTTATTTTGAGTTAACAAAAGATTTTTTTTTAAGGGTGCTTTATATTTAGCTGCTCTTGGGGGGAAAAACAAAACTCTAGTGTAAAAAGTCCAGTTTAGAAGACATTATAAGAAGACCTATTTTCTGTGGCAGTTTAAGATAAACACTGACACATCTTAGAAAATCTGAGATATAGTGATTCTTAGTTTAGATATGTATCATTGGTGCATATTTTTCATCCATATCTTAACTGAGAAACAGAGTTTCTTTGGGAAACCTCACAATGTAATGCCTCCCAGGGAACAGTCTGTTTGTTGCTTGAAATGGGTTAATATTGACACATGTTTACAAATCTCACAGCAAGCCTGGAAATCACTGTAGTTGTACTCTCCTCTGGCTCCCTTGAAAACAACATAAGTAGAACAAATGCAGTTTTGTTTAACCTACGCAGCCTAGACAAATGGGTGGAACATTAACAAAGAGTACCAGTTAACACCCAAACTTTCTCAATTAATAAACCAAAGAAAACCAAGTATAATTTATGTCACAATTTTCATGGTGATTTCCTTTTAAAATCTCCCAGATTTTCAAATTCTCCAGATTTTCTTTTACAAGTGATATCATAATTTGTGGGCATATATAATTCTTCTTTTGCTCACATTTATAGAAAAATTGTAATCTCCAGGGAGCCATTTACATCAGTCTTTGGTAGCTAAGGGATTTAATGGGTGTGTGAAAAATCTAACCTGTAATAAAACATTTCAGAGAAAAGCAAACAAACAAAAGCATATCTCAGTCAGTTTTACCTACTGTCAGGAAAACATTTCAAGTTTCTGTCTAATGGTAATTCTACTTAGAGAGACCATAGAAGGATGCATCCAGTGCTACTAGGTTTATTTGTGAATAGTGTTGTAGATATGGACATAATCTATATTTTATGATTTTTTTCATCTATGAATCTGCTAACCAGAAGGCTGGTGGTTCAAACCCACTAGCCACTCCTCGGAAGGAAGGTTGGGCAATCCTAATTCCGTAGTGATACTGCCTCGGAAACCCAAGGAGGGGTCGCTATGAGTCAGGGCTGACTCGATGGCACATATCAACAACAACAACAATGAATCTGCTACATGACCTGTGTTGAATTATAATGTAATTCTAAGTGGGACAGAATAGTGCTGTGAGTAATGCGTGAGCTGTGTGTTCTAACATCTGAACTTGGCCACTTACCTATCAACCATGTGACCTCATACAGTTTAACCTCTTCAAATGGTTTGTTGTGAACATTAAATATATGAATGTACCTGCTCATTAGGATTGTGTTTCTTATTATATAATCACAAAAACAAATATAAAGTAACTTTTTTTGTGTCAATAATTGAGGACTTTTTTCTCCCAGAGTAGTAAATATTCTTTGCATTGAGTAATGAAGTACTTTGTTAAAAGCAAAATTAAAATTTGATGGTCATTGCC